CCATCAGCTTGGCTGGCACCAGCTGCCACTTGACTCCTCCCTGACGAACCCTCCTCCTGTTTCTACAATCTCAATCATAGGCTTGGGCTCGCGGACAGACCTCTGGGGGCCGCGGCCCCTCAGCAACAGTCGTTTTTCACAGAGGTCACCCCTGCCACTTTGGCTCACATTACCTCTGACGAGCCTCATACCTAACCCCCCCGTTACAACTGCGTGATCGCGTCACCACGCACTACTCTGCGCGGGTGCTTTAGACGCCTTTACGCACCCCAAACAGTCGTTCACAGGGCACTGCACACTTTAGGCTTTCTCCTGAAGACTCTCTATGTTACCTACAAACTAGGTGCTTTTGTCTTTTCTTTTCTTTAGAGACCTCGCGACCTCCTTCCTCTGGGTGCCGGGACTACTCGCAACAGTCGATTCTCACAGGGCTGCTCGTCATTTGCGTCTCGTCCTGTCTTCCTACTAACATTACTCAAACTGCGTGAGGTAAGTGATTAAACTGGTCGAACAGTCGTTTAAACAGGCCGCCCTGTCACTCTGGCACCTCTCCTCCTGACGAATCATCTGCTTCATCAGACTGGTGGGATCGCGACTACCTCTGGCTAGAGAGGCTCGAACAAGTCGTTTCACAGGGCCTGCCACTTCTGGCTCCTCTCTGACAAGACTATACCTCGTTAACTCAAGTGATCAGTAGCGGTCGCACGCATCTCCTCTGAGATGGGCCCCGTCAGTTCCACAGTCCGCGGTCGCCCCAAACATGCTCGGTTTCACAGCAGGACCACTAGCCACTTTTGTGCATCCTCCTGTGACTTCCGCGCCTTCTCCTATATGGGATAGATGGGTGCTCACGACTCCTCTAAGCGGGCCGGTCGCCAACAGTCGCCCGTTTCACAGCGGCTGCCCCACTTTGCGTCCCTACTATGACGACTCCTCTGACACTTCTCAACTGCGACTTGGATGACCTTCAATCATCTCCCGCTTCCGCGTGCACGACTACTCACTGAGCGGCCTCTTTGGTCGAACAGTCGTTTCACAGGGCTGCCACTTTGGCTCCTCCTGACGACTCCTCGTTCTCAACTGGTGGGTCGTGACTCCTCTGGGGGTCGAACAGTCGTTTCACAGGGCTGCCGCTTTGGTTGCTCCTGTCTTTCCTCCTCATTCTCAACTGGTGGGTCGTGACTCCTCTGGGGGTCGAACAGTCGTTTCACAGGGCTGCCACTTTGGCTCCTCCTGACGACTCCTCGTTCTCAACTGGTGGGTCGCGACTCCTCTGGGGGGTCGAACAGTCGTTTCACAGGGCTGCCACTTTGGCTCCTCCTGACGACTCCTCGTTCTCAACTGGTGGGTCGCGACGACTCTGGGGGGTCGAACAGTCGTTTCACAGGGCTGCCACTTTGGCTCCTCCTGACGACTCCTCGTTCTCAACTGCGATGACGAACAGTAGATCTTAACCCTGCGATTCAGACCACGGCCATCCGCGACTAACCTCTAGCGAGGGTTTTATACCGGCCGGGTTCGCAACAGTCGCTTTCCACAGGGCCTAGCCACTTTGGACTCCATCCTTGCATGCCACGACTCCTCGTTCTAAACTCGGTGAGGTCAGACGCTACTCTGGGCGATCGCAACAGCTCGTTTTTAAGTTTACATACCGGCTGTCAGCCCACTTTAGCACTCATCCTGAACGCCCGCTAAACCCCCCCAACTCCTCGTTACTCAGCCTGAGTAGGGTCCGACCGACTCTCTAAGGGGCACATAAGAGCGGGCGTTTCGAACAGCTCGTCCTTCACAGGGCCCCAGCTCACTAATCTGCGGCTACCTCCTGACGACTCCTTGGTACTCAACTGGCTAGGGTTGCACAGACTCCTCTGGCCGGACGGCGCTACGTGTCGAACAGTCGCTTTCCACAGGGCCTAGCCCCACTTTCGGCCCTCCTTCTCTAGTACGACTCCTTCGGTTCCTCAACCTGGATAGAACCGCGTCAACGACTCTCTGGCGGGGATTGAAAAGGGTACATCGTCACAAGGGTTCACTTTGGCCCTCCTCCTATGAACTTTCTTTTTTTTTTGTTTTTTTTTTTTATTTTTTCTTTTTCACTTTGGCTCCTCCTGACTTTCCTCCTTGTACTCAACTGGTGGGTCACGACTACTCTGGGGTCGAACAGTCGTTTCACGGGATTGCCACTTCGGCTCCTCCTGTCTTTCCTCCTCATCCTCAACTGATGGGTTGCAACTCCTCTGGGGCCCGAACAGTCGTTTCACAGGGCTGCCTCTTTGGTTCCTCCTTTCTTTTCTCCTTGTTCTCAACCAGTGGGTCCTGACTCCTATGGGGGTCAAACAGTCATTTCACAGGGCTGCCGCTTTGGCTCCTCTTGTCTCTTCTCCTTGATCTCAATCAGTGGGTCCCAACTCCTATGGGGGTTGAACAGTCGTTTCACAGGGTTGCCGCTTTGGCTCCTCCTGTCTTTTCTCCTCGTTCTCAACCAGTGGGTCGCGACTCCTATGGGGGTCAAACGGTCATTTCACAGGGTCGCTGCTTTGGCTCCTTCTCCTGTCTTTCTCCTTCGTTCTCAACCAGTGGGTTGCGACCCCAATGGGGGTTGAATGGTCGTTTCACGGGGTTGCCTCTTTGGCGGAAAAAATCAAATGCAAAGATACAGAATCGGGGACGGTGCTGGGTTTCAGAAGCCAAAGAAGGATGGAAAAGAATGAGGTGAATCTTGAAATAGAGTGGGTGGAGGTGGAAGGTTTTCTGTTTGCATGCGTGAACAGTTTAGAGTTCCTCAAACGCAGATTTCAAGCCCAAATAAAAGCCAAAAGCTAGGTTGTGCCAAAACAAGATGCTTGTATTGAATCCAAAACAGTTCCAAAACCCCATCATCCCTTGCCAACCAGCTGATGAAGGGATTGTGGTGGATGTAGTCCTCTGAAACTTCCTTGAGCTCTGCACATCTGGTAGGGATTAGCAAGCGTCATGCAAACCCTTTGTTTGCATTCAGTCTCCCAAAGTTAAAAATAAATCCAGGCACGAAATTGTTTTTGTATTCTCCGCCTGACTGACTCCATTGCAAAGATGTTTTTACTCAATGCAAGGCTCTTTGTCTACTGCTTAAAATAGGAAGCAGCCAGATTTTGAAGCTGCAAGGCCATTCAATGCTAAGCTGGCCAATTGCAACATTCACACTTGCCTCCAACAGACAAGAGTTCTTTCTCCCACCCTGGACATCATTCCACAGATATATAAACCCCACTTTCCTAATTTC